GACTGGCTTCCAAATCTGCTGGCGTTGCACCTACCCATTCATGAATGATCGGAACATTCTCACGAACTTCCATGTGAATCTTTGCCGACTCAGGGCAAAAGTGCTTGAGATCACCAAGACGATCCGCCTTGATCATGTAGGGCAATTCGTCTGGCAGCCAAACAAACCCTCGTTTGTGGTGGTTTACTTGAATTTCCAAAGACAATGCATGGGGACATGAATCCAAAGTGTAGAAAGTGTTGAGGCCGCTCACTTGCCCTTGGAGTTCGATGGCTTTTGTGGTTTTCCTCTCCCCACCTCCCGTTCTAAAGATCAGGTTTTCCGGCGGGTCGATGATGAATCCCTTTCAATCGTCGGGCATCGAGTCTTTCGACAACAGATTCCTTCCTGCACCTGAATCCATGAGAAATTCCATCTGACATGGATGTGACGCCAATGCAGGGACACTTGAATGATCAATCTGGGACATCGGATTGCAGCATGTGATGGCGGTCATGATCGTAGTCACGGCTTTGGCCAACAACTGGACACAAGGGACTCTCAATGAGCTTCGAGTGACCTTTCTGCAAACCTTCTTTGCTTCTTTCAAAGCGGCTTCGGCTGACGGGATTGATGCGAATGCTGTTGCAGCTGCTACGGAAGCGGCTCCGGCATGACTAGAAGAACTAGCACCAGTACCAGATTTCATGCGAGGCTTCGGGCCCTTGTACAAGTTCCCTTTGTCATGGAGGAATTCACAATCCTTCCCGCGAGTGCATGAATCGTATGCGAAGTACATGCAGGGCAGTTTTGCTTTCTGCTCTTTGGTGAGCGGTGGCTTGTCCTCCTTGTTCTTGCCTTTGCCATCTTTCCCTTTTCCTTTTCCTTTTTGGGCGAACGCTGCATCAACATTCTTGTCTTCCTCAGCCTTCTTTGATGTCTTGGGCTTGTCCTCTTTCTTGACCTTTGTGTCTTGCTCTGGCTTCTTTTCTTTCTCTTTCTTTGTCTTCTCATCTTTCTTCTTCTTGTCTTTCGCCTCTGCTTGTGCCCCTCCAACCTTTGGATCTAAGCCTGCTGAGGTGAGAGCTTTGTCCATTGATGTTGTGTTCAAATCCATTTGGGATATCTCAATGGCTTCACACATCTTGCTATACAACCAACGGCTGGTTCGCTTGTAGCTACCAGTGTTTGCTTCCCGAAACTTGTCAATTGCGAGTGCCATTTTGGGGTGATTCTTGAGGCTTTCAAACAACAATGACCTCAGCGACGTTTCAGCGGGCATCTCACTAGGTTCAAGAGCGCCCACGCAAAAGTCATATCGCTGTCGAAAGTCTTCAAGTGCCTTGATGTCACTACCATTCATCTTCAATGACAAAAGGTGGTGCTGACTGAGTGCCGTTCCGCGGTCGCGATCGAGTCGAAACTTTTGGAAGATCAACCACAACAACTTGCGACCTTTCGGTTGTTGATCATGTGTCTGACATCTCTCTTGGTGGGTCTGAAATTCCAAGGCAAATTTTGTACCCTTTGCTGCTTCTAGCAATTTGGCGCCTAGGATCCGATCCAAGATGGGAAAGTCCTTTGCATTATTGAACTCTTTACCATCTTCCGAGATGTTGCAACGATTGACCCAACGGAGCACGATGCTTTCATCATTCTTGGCAAATTTGCAAACCCCACTGAACACTGCGTTTCGGAAACTCCGGCATTTTGCTGCGTCTTGAGGCAAAGCAGGAATCTTTAGATAGTCATACTGTTTGATACGCATTAGGCGTTTCTCTCGTTTGTAGGGGTCCTCCGAATCGCTTGATGAACCATCTCCACTTGGGGATTTTGGTGGTGAGTCTCCGCCCCCTCCAGGGTTTCTGTTTGAACCCTTTCCTTTCGAGTCACTTGAAGAGGATGAAGAACCACTTCCTGGGGGCGATCCGGGGACTTTGCGGCGGTCTCTTGATCGGTTCGATGATGGCTGATTGCCCGATTGCACAGGGTTTGCCGTCAACCCACCAATCAATTGCTGCATTTGAATGGTCAATTGATGCACTTGCATTTGCAAAGCAGTGTTTTGGTCACTTTGGATTTGAAGTCCGATCTGATCATTTAGCAAGGCAGCAGGAGGCAACATTGGATTTGCCTTTGGTATCTCTCCTGCACGAGCGGACTGAGTTGGTGAAGGTGCCAAATGCAGCTCTTCACCATTGGTTCCTGTGGCAATGGGCGTCAATGCAAACGAAGGCAACGCGACCCGCGACTCATGCATTGGTTGACCCTGGAATGCGACCGTGCCAGGATGGTAGGATTTGGGAGTTGCAATACTATGTACCGCCGGAACCAATTCACCCATTCCATGAACTTTCATTGATGGACTCGGCTGACCAACACGTTTAGGTTTCCTATCAACGAACGAGGTTGCCTTTGGCGGCGGACTGCAAGGATGGATGGTGCTTGGATCCCCTGGAGTTCCACTCTTTGCAAGGGACTGCAACCTTTCATCTTGATCCTTGATCCTCCTCATCATTGCTTCCATTTGACCCCTCATTTCATTCATCTGCCTAGTGGTGGACTCTAGTGCCTTCTCCCTTTGGTTCAATGCACCGGTCACTTCAACCACCTGGTTCGTGCGATCAATCACTAAAGCCTTCAATTGCTCAATCTGGTTTTGGTAATTAGCAACCTCTTGATGAGACTGATTCATCAAGCGGGTAGCTTGACCTTGGGTTTGACGGACCAGTTCATGGGCTTCTTCTTGAGACTGCTGGACCATGCTCCTGGCAGTGGATTCTACCGCCTGGATTTGAGACCTGGCTTGGTTTTCAATGGATTGAACTTGACTCTGGATTTGGGCTTGAGCATTAGATTCAATACCCTGGATCTGCTGAAGGGCTTGGTTCCTAAACTGACTCTCCATTGCTTGGACATACTGAGCAGTCTGGTTCCTCGCATTAGCTTCAACTTCAGAGGCGTATTGAATGGCTTGACCCTGCACTTCGGACACGACCTGGTGAGCCTGAGCTACTACCAGAGGGTTCACATCGAAAAGATTGACTGATCTGGCATCTGTGAAATGAGACGACTGGTTGCTTTCGAACACAATCTGTCTTGCATCAATATGACCGATGGTCGGTTGTTGGTATTCAACACCCGTCCTTGCTGTTGGGTTTCCTTGATTACTTTGAACCATCGATGAGTGAGATGTTTCTGTCAGGGATGACAAACTCGTATCTTGGATAGGAGTTGCAATGGCTTCCCCAAACATGACAATCTGTTCACTCTCCGGTGAACCATGCGCACTTCCTCCTGATCCCTCCATCGCTTCTTTTCAAAGATCAAACGACGTCTACTCGGCTGCAATGAAATTCTCAACTGCCTCCTTCGTCCAGCCGTCGTTCAACCAATTGGCGTATGGATACGCAGATCCGCTGTTCAAGCTCCTCTTCCGTGAAAGCTTAATGTGAATCCCTGTTGCCCTGTCGGTGGCCAAAGTGGCTTCCAACTCAGATAGGATATCAGCACTGTCGTCGATCAAACAACAAGACAAGTGATCTCCCAACCGTTCGGCAAATCTCGAGATAACTGCAGCCTTCCCTGTCGAACCCTCCGGCTCAAATGTACAAATGATCCCGTCAAACAAGTGATGAATCCCTTCGCTGTTGCTCCAAATGTCCTTGCACGCTTGATAGCGTCCCGAACTCCCAATGAAAGAAAGAACGAAAACAAATGGAATACGCTCGTGATCCAACGCAAACTGTCTGAACTTCTCGATCGCCTCAATGTTCTCAACTCCAATGTGACCTGTCTGTCTGCAAGTATCGCTGTGATCCCTGTCAAGAACCTGATGGTGATCAACAAAAAGGACCTTAACCTGGCCAATGTCTGCAACTGCTCCCAAATGCACTTCCTGTGACTCCCAACGAGTATAGCGACCCTCCGCTGCCTCAAAGGTAAGGAAATGTACCGTGTCCGGCAGAACAATCGAGACTTGAACTGGCTCTGGCCTCCGCGGCGGTGCCTTTGCAAATGCCTTTGGCGTAAGGCCAATCACAGCAGGCGGTACCGAAACAGCGGGCTCAGGCCTAGGTGGCAGTGCCGAAGCAGCTAACCTATGCGCCTCCTCGAATCGAGCTCTGTACGTTTGAAGAACCTCCTCAACAATCGTCACCCGACTCTGTGCGCAAAAGTTAAAAGACGTAACACCGTTCAGCAAATGCGGATGTGTCAATGCAAAATGCCCCTCAGCCACGCCCTGGCGAATGAACGCCCTCTTCTGTGCTCGGCCGCTCTTTCCAGAGCGAGGGAACCTCAGAAGCTTGTGGAGCTCCTCGTACTCGGGATGCTCCGGATCAGAATAACCCCCTTCAGGCGGGGGCGGACCAGCGGGTTCAGTCGGGCGACGTGAACCAGAGGAAGATGCGATGGCTGCAACGACGGCCAACAGCCGATCGCAAAGCGATACGGCTGATAACCAAAAGAACACAGCAGCCGCCCCTTTTTCCCACAATCTTGAGCCAAACATGTCCGGTGAAGTGAAACGTCAATGACTGGATCATGTGATGGCTACATTCATTAAGATTCCTGTGACTTGCATGTCAAGTGATACAACAGTGCTTGGTGACACATCGAATGCAAAGCTTGCCTGCAGAGATGCTCTTTGGTTGTTCATGGACTGCTTCAAGGACTGCTTCCCCTGGCGTGCCAGATGCATCGACCAGGGTGCTTTGCTAGTGGATTAGGGGTGGTGGTTTCACCCCATGTCTCTCTCCTTGTCCTCTGTATACTCCTGCATGTATTTGGCTGGCACACCCTCTGTCAAATAGCTCAACGACATGATCTCGCTATAGATGGCATCCACAGTTTCTATCGGTCAACTTCCACCAAGAACCATGTATTATATGAAATTCAGCCCATTCTATTTGAACAGCGCCGTATATTGTATATTGTATCCCTGTTTGTCCTTGTTTTTGTTCCTTTTCCCTAACCGCTGGGCCATACCTCACCCACCCACACCGCCGTAGCTTAAGCTCCTCCAAGCTTAGCCCGCTGTCCACCACTCGATCAGCTTTCTCCCGCTTCACTCCATCTGGCACCTGGACGGTGCAGAAGTATCACCCCCAAAACAAATATCACCCCAACCACCCACTGGTAGGACCACTTGGCATGGCTTGGTCCTACCAACCAGGAGAACCACGGACGGCATGGCATCCCTTTCTTGAAATACACACTCACTCAGATCAAGCAAAACGTATTCCTGGGCCCTTCATCAAACGGCAGACCAAACCTGGTAGACCAGGTTTTTTGCCGAATGCACTTGGTTCTAAGGGTGTTGCAGGATCCTTAGCACAATATGCCCAAAAAAATGGACATACTTAGACTCAGAGATTCTATTCGGTCATAGAGCCTTCATCAGCACACTGGATTGCCTTCTGGTTTCTGGCTCCCATTTGATATAACCCACACACTCCATGTATGGAATATATGATATGATATGCATTCATTGACCCCTGAAACCACTTCACTTATTATTATCAAATAATTCAAATATAATTCATAATTCAATGCTGGCGTACAATCAATGGAGTGTCGGGGGAAACCTTTCATCCTTTCGCGGGCTGTCCGGGCTGTCCGCCTGCTTTGCCAGGATCGCGGTGAACTTCTCCGGCGTCATTTCCGGGCGGGCCAGAACCCGACGCCGCCTCGGGCCGAAAACGGATAAAATACACAAAAACTGAAGCTTTTGGTGTTGGGTTTTGAATCAGTGAATGCTGCACATCAAACAAATGTGTGGGATCATGTCGGAGATGAACATTTTCCGGGCCTGAGCTTCCTTGGGGAGTTGGAAGAGGTTTACAGTTTACCGTGTTTCTGACCTCGAGATTGATGACGAACAGAACATGAAGGCCCTTCGTTAACTTGGCCTTCTCAACTAGCCGAGCCTCTCTTCGGGGCCTTCCCGGCACAGATGTGAGCGAACCGACGCAAAACCGGTTGGAGTTCCTTCCAACAACCCCTGCCTAGCATTCTCGACGGCTCCGCAGCTGTTTTCATTTGTTTTCTATGTTTGTGGGTTCGTGCATGATCCATCCGTCATGACATCGCCAGTTGCAACACTGCCTCGGCACTACGGCACCGACGCGGCACTGAGGTGCCCGGCTGCTGCTCGGCGGGAGCACTCACCACCACCACCAAGTCGCAGTGTTTCTCCTTACAACGAGAAAACCTCCCAAACATTAAACTGGTTGTAGTGGAGTTGGTTTTCAAGGAATTCGTTCGCCAGGCGTTGACAAAAACATGGCAACAACAATATCATGTTCAGAAACAACATCCCTTGAAGAACAAAATATGAAACAATAATTCAATATAATTCATTCATATTCACTCCATGAATCCAACCGTTGTTCATGTCGAGGGCGACGTCTTTTTCGAAAACAACGGAAAACTGGACATTGGACCATCCGAAAACAAACGGAAAACAGGAGATTGGACCATGTATAAAATGTTGTTTTTGTTCGGTGTTTTGTGTTTTGATTTTGGGGAAGTTCGGGTGCATTTGGAAAACACGTGATTTACCCATATACCCATGCAAACCGGTGAAAAAACACGTGTTTGATGGTATGGCCCTGGGCTTGGATTGGCCAACAATTTCTGGCCTAAATGAGTGTCAAGTGGCTTTGACTGTAAATGACATGCGCCACTGTGGGCCTGGATTCCTGGATCTAGCTCCTAAGTATTGGAACTCGTGTTGCTGCATCACTGCTCGAACTCCGAGTTCACAATTTTCTTTCGTCGATTCGTCAGTTCGTTTGCCTTTGAAGGAGAAGCAGCACAAAACGATATCCATGGCCGACCGCTGGGCAGTCATTGGGTTCAAGGGTGATTGGACAACAATCAGCAATGTCAACAGATGTTGTTATATAAACTATCAAAGGTTGAACTTGTCATACACTTATCTTTTTCCTCACCTGCCAGGTGAGAGTTTTTAGACTTTATAAAAGCTCTTCTTTTCCTCCTCCGCGCCACCTCAACAGCAAATGCCAGATTGCAGTGGGCATTACCGGACCTCAACACACAACACAACATAACCACAAACACACAATACACAACAACCACAAACAAACGATCACAAGCACGCGCACACACACAAACTCACACACAAACAAAACCACAAACACGAACACACAACCACAATCACAAACACCCAATCAGAAACACACAGCCACAAACACAACCACATACGCAACCAAAACACCCAATCACAAACACAACCACGAACACACAACCACGGCACACAACCACAACCACAAACACGCAATTGTATATATAATTACTACCTCTGCGCGTGGGATCACTAGGCAAAGTAATTTGCTTTGATTTTCTGGACAAGGTGTTGTCAAAATCATGAGTGAAGCGAGATGAAAAATTGTCTATGTATAGCTCGCTGCTATATGGACGTCATCGAGTTTCTATATGGAGTTCAGTATGATGATAACTATCATGTACAACACACACTGGATTCACTAGGTTGGGAGAGTCTCGGTGGACAACTACACGGACTAGGGTCGGCTGCGGGAGGACAACGCCCACACACTGCCCAGCAAAGTGGCGCTGTACGTCGGCATGCGAGTGCTGCTGACAAGGAGCAGAACCACTACGCCAACGGAATGCTGGCTGATGTGGAATGCCATCCAGGACCCCAATGTTTGCAAGTGTTGATGCAGAGGTTGGCCATCTACCTGTGCTCCTCAGTTCCAGAACAGTGCAACCTATTATACGGTTCGTCCAATTCCACAATTAAAAGCTGCTGAGCGTGCCAGCCTTGTTCACCTCAGAAGATCTCAGTCCTTGGGAAAGAAGGATACCTACAAGATCAACCATCATTCAGATGCCTTTGCTTCCGTGATAGCAAATATTTCAACAAGGTTGGCCGTGCCCAATGGCCACTGCTCGCAGGAAGCGTTCCAGCAGCTTCTGAGGCCTGAAAAAACTTCAACGTTTTTTCGATTCAGCCGCGTCGTTGCAAAACCTTCACCTGCCCATTGTGGACCGCGCGTGATACAAATTGGCGCCAATCCAACTATTGCCACACCAGGATCTAATTCGCAAACCTATAGAAGGCTGCCCGAACTTATATAGTCTTGCATACATCACCGATTTCCCTTTCCCTTTGCAAGACTAATTTCAGTTTATCATCCGTCTCTACTTTCAACCCCAGAGTTCAATTGCTGCTGCAGCCACAGATACATTCGCAGTGGCCAGGTGATGCAAGCTGCGACATGATTGATTTCCATCTTCTTGGCGGTGAACGTAGTGGGAAAGCCTTTCTCCACACCATCGCGCAAAGCGCCTTCTCGAATTCCACCGCTGTGTCTTTTCCCAGCGCCGCTCGCCACACTGACTGTCCTTCACCCGCAATACGTTGCGACACAAGTTTCCCAGCCAGCCAACTTGAAACAGTCTCCTTGCGAGCGCTTCCCTGCAGAGGGTTGAACACACTTTCGCAAAACACACCACACTTGTGCAAAAACTCACCAAGTCCCTGGGAAGCCTGCAAGCGAATGATGCCCACCTGAGACCCTGAAATCCATTTTAAGCACAAGAAGGCTCCCGTCTCCCCGTTTCACGGCAACCGACGGACACTTTTTCACTGCTGTGTGACCGTGACATTTGTAATTATTAAATTTGTGCGATGCCGGCTGCCTTTTGTTTTGCAATAGGAATCGTCCAGGTTCTGCCAGTGGCTTTGGCGTTGGCCGCGGCCGCTCTTGCCACGCAGATGGGCTGTCTGGCGGAAGGTCGCAAACAACACATCCCCAATTCCTCCAAACATGTTTCACGTGACCAATATGGAGATTCCGCAAAAGTTAGTCTGTTCAGTATATTGCAATCCTCTTCTCGTTCGTCAACGTGCACCACAGCAGTCTCCAAACATGCGCCGAGAACTTGGCGGTCCTGCGGCCGTAGCATGTTGATCTTGCACATCAAAACTTCTCGAGGAACCCACGCAGCCATTGAAGACGAAGGGAGTGTCACCGCTGTGTCTGACACTTCATCCAAATACCCACTTGCCCGCAAGTCGAGGCCTTCCAAGCCGTCGAAGGTCACACATTCACATTGCATCCAGGCTGCCCAAGTCTGCGCAGCAACAGCATTCGCAAGCTGCTTCACACACACGATTTCCTGGAAGCCAGGGGTAACAAAGATACTGAAGGGATCCCGCGCACCATCGTTCGCTGAAGCCATCGTTCTCCGTTTCCTTTCAGGTCCAGTGGGTGATATAGTAAAGGTGGAGGCGGGGCGCCGCACACACGCACTTTGTTGGGCTCAACAGACTTAGTATCCAATGTAGTCCGAGGTGGTTCTTCTGCATCTGCACCACTCGACGACCGCAGAACCGCAAGTCTCCACCGATACTTTGATAGGTGGTGGCTGGCTGATTCTACCGGATACTTTGATAGCTGGCTGGCTGATTCCGACGGATACTTTTGGTGGCTGAATGCGCCAGCCGCCGGAAACTTTGCTGGCTGGCTGGCTGATTCCGACGGATACGTTGAGAAGTAGCTGGCTGGCTGGCTGATTCCGCCAAGTACCCGGAACGCAGGGTCAATAGAACTTTTGACATACTAGTAGCTTCTAACAAACACCTTTGGTGCAAAATTGCTCGAAGGAACAAAGGTCCTTGTAAGTCCTTGTGGTAGCATGCAGGTCCTTTTAACTTTCAAGGCTGCAGTGCGGATGGACCACAAATTGTTCAATCGACGGCCATTGAACAGGAGATTGATAGCGAAGACTCTCTTTTGGTTTTTGTCCTCAACAAAACTGTGTACCCAGGGACGTCTTATGACACTATTTAAATGCCTACACCTTCCTTATGGGGATGTTTCGAAGGACACATAATTCTTGGGCGGCGGAAATTCCTCTAGTGCGGCACTTGGTTGATTTTGGATAGGCTGGGGAAAATGACGTACAGTGACAGTGACACCTTCCGAAACGAAAACGGCACCGAGAAAACATCACATGTTTTTGTTGTGTTTTACCATGTTTTACACGTTTTGTTGCACTATTCAAAGTCTAGAGTGGCAGGTGAACCCATGAAGTGGCGTTGTCTTCAGAAAGGGACTATACAACTACATCAAGCGACTGAAATTAGTTGAGCTTCACAAAACAAAGCTCAATTTACATACCCGGGCATAAAATTGTACAATATATCGATCATATCCAGTATAGAGGATCACTCACCTCAAATCACCTTGTCACCTTCCCGGCCAAGAGGCCAGCTGCTTTTCAAAGAGCAAAGGAATGTCCAGCACGCACAGGAGCTGCCGGGGTCAAGAAACAACGACTCTATTCCGGACCGGGAATTGGCGGAAAGTGAGTGAAACAATTGAACACGGCAACATCAAGAAGTCCAGTTGCATGCTTTGGTTTTGGTGTCATTGGGTGTACTCACTGTGTCAGCCTACTCCGATCAGTTTCCTGAATAAAAACACAAGTCATCGTGAGCAATTCTACAATTGGAGGGTTCACTTAGTCTTTCAACTCCTTTATGTTTCGTTGGGATTTGCCAGTGCCCCCCTCCAGCATGACAAGTTTCTGACAGGTTGAACGGTTGAATCACCCAAAAAGGTTCCTTCCTGGGAAGGTGAATGGCTTCTCGCATTTTTGACCTTGCTCTGTGTCCCCCTTCTTCCCCCAAGATTCGCAGGTGTTCAACCCAGGATTTACTCTTTGGAACGTAGCTGGGCTGCGTACTGTAGACTGTTGACTAATAAGCCCCCATATGAAGAGGTCTTTCAATCCAAATGGAGGAATTGGTTCCTCAAGCATCCACGCTCGTTTAAAAAAAATAGAAAAACCGATCGAAGCAACATCGATTGACTTCTGGGACTCGTTCCCACGAACCTCCGGGGACTCTTCACCGCCTCTTCGCCCCTCCCGCCTCCCCGCGCCGCTGGGCGTCATGGATGAAGCGATCCCTCGAGGCCTCCACCAAGGGGTGCACGATGGCCTCCACCGAGACAGCGGCACCGTTCGACGGAGGGCAAAACCCGGGCGGGTGGGGGGGTTAGATGAGTGCGTGGCGGGGGTGGTTCGGCCGGCTCGGCACAGATGGTGGGTGAACTCGGTGATGGCAACAGGAGGATCACATTTGGGGGGAAAGTACCGAATCTAAATGCTGAATCAACTGTTTGACCAGCTCATGAGGTTCAAAGAGGTTGCATCGCTTTGTGGTAAACATGTATGTGTGGAAAGCTGTCAAAATCATGCTTCTCGGGAAGAGACCAGCAATTCCAACAAGAAGCAACTGGGCATGATTGAAGATGCAAGTGACAGGTCCTGAATGTGCTCCCAAACGCAAAAGAAAGAGAAGATTGAAGAGGTTTAGTAATTACTAATTAACCTGCCCACACAGCCCCCAACAAACTACACGTTGCAAGCACCTAATAAATATCTGATGTTCAAACTCCCTGGCCTCTGGGTCGCTTGCGGCTTCAGCGTCCCTTCTACCCGACCCCCACCATTCAGCAGTTCCAAAAGACTTGGAGTCAGAATGAGTCCTGTCACCACCCATGAACGGTCTTGGTCTTCGCAGTTCCGATTCCAGTGATATATTCACTAATGCAGGTATCCTTTATTATGGGTCGGCGAAGGTCGGTGTGCCCGGCAACCAGACTAAGGGCCTCCATGCAGGACCACCACGCCCAAAACGCCCACGGGGCGGCCTCTAACTGCTTGAGGCGTTCAGAATTCGCCTCGCCCACCACGAGCTTCGACAACGCCCCACGATCAATGCCACCCTCCTGCCATGCTGCAGTGGTCGTCTTCGCGCGGGAGGGAAGGCTTCGGGGTGGCGACGCAGGACGGGCCGGCCAATGAGTCCACATAGAAGAGGTACGGTCTTTCAAAGCAATTCCTACATATTCCTACCAAACTGGACTAATTCGAAGGTCAACCGTTGTTGTTTCATGGTGGTTTGGTTTTGTGATGCTTTTGTGGGGGACAACAGCAAGCAGGGATATCATGAGTATCTCAGAACGGTTTGACATTCGAAGCAATAAACCTTCTCAGATTCTGACACAGTATGCCATTGCATCGAGCTTTTTGTCCGGAGCATTCAACCAAAGGTTCACCAACATTCAACCACCAAACCGGCTGATGCTTGCAAACAAGCCATGGGATCAAACAATTCTGCACAAGATGCTGGGAACCCCTCAAAAGGAAGGGCCACAACTCTCGCTTCAAGAAATTGACACCTTGAAGCTTTCGCTGTCGGCGGTAGGTTTTCTCTCTGGTTCTTCTCTCCAAGCTTTCTGACATCAAAATCCTAAACCTGCCAACATCTTCTTTGATCGGTATGTGATCACTTTAGCCACTCTGAGCGCTCTGAGACATAATTCCACCTGGAAGGGTTCACTAGAAGGTATATACGCAAAAAACAACTCTGGGGGGGACATTCTTCCAAGCGTAACTGGACCCTGAACTGCAAGACGAATAAACAAATGGCTCCTCATTCAAGACTTGGCTTCCAAAAGCCTCGCGATTTCAGCAGTGAACGCTCGCAGTCGATAGACCTGAACGACGGATTGGCTTTTGGGCCCTTGTAGAATCTTGTAGAGAAGTACAGTAATTGGTCGATGACTTCCACTGCTACCAGCCTGCATATGGTGTCATCTGCTTTGCCTTGTGTCAACTATTACGCCCACCTGAGCTGGGCAAAAAAAAACCTCAGTCTCCTGGCGGCGACGTTGACATGGAAAAACCACCTTGCCATCTGCAACTGCTGAATCTTTGTCAGCTCAAAATTCCAACATGACCTGCACCGTTTGACTTCGACCAAACTGGATTTCTACTGCGGTTCAATAAATCCCGCACCCGTCTGAATCGCCTACAGTGGTTTTCCTGATCGATGTCACGATGCGGTGCAATGTGGTGCAAAGTCTCAAAAGGTTTCTGAATTTATCTTGTGTCCCAAGCGACAACTTAAGAAATCGTGTCTTCTTTGTGTCTGCTTGGCACATGTTGCCCTATAGCGAATTTCCCGTTGACCAACGCCCATGCAAAACCTCACCATGTGCCGATTGGGTGTCGAAAACATACGGTCTAACTCTCCCGAACTGGCATAACTTCTGCCTAACCTAACTAGCTGTTATACGTTCCCAAACTTGTGAATCGTGAACTTCATCTTAGAACTTATCTGTTCGAGTTTCCCACCACATGCCGACCAGCGCCTCCTTCAGTGGCAGGACGGCCTCTCCTCCCGGCCTGGGTGAAACGCGCCCGGAGGGCCTTGGACCGACTTGACTGATCCAAATCGCGTCCTTGGCGATTGTGATCATTAGGACCATATCCACACATGGGACTTGACTGGTCAGCCGCGGATACTGTACTTCAATTCCAGTGAAACATATCACATCTCGGTGAGATGGTTATGATGTTTCGCTGGCAAAATACGGATGATGCGCCAAAAAAGCGGCACCCGCTTCAAACACGGCACCAAGCGTATAGGATGTTGCCCGGCTCCAACTTGAAAGGACTTCGGGACTTGGTGATGAACCGTTTGATCAAACACGCGGACCACCCTCATTGTTATCGAGGACATGGTGACATGGTCACGGGTATGTTTTCGTTCATGGCATATCATATTGATGTAATAATGACGTAGTATATTTGTGCATGGTCTTTGCATGGTTTGATATGGGCTGATCCTGAATATTGGCGTGGTGATCCTAACCTTTGCCGTGGTCCCAACTCAGGGCAGGGGGAAACCAGCAGCACCCCAGCAGCAGCCCAGCAGCAAACCACCAGCACACTAGCAACAGCCCAGCAGCAAAACAGCAGCAAAGCAAAACCAGGAGAACAGCAGCAAAGCAACAGCACGGCAGCAATCCAACAGCAACAGCAGCAGCAGCAGCTTTAGATCAGCACTGTGGGTTTTTGTGTATACATCGGTAAAGGAGGTGTCTGAAGAAAACATTGTCAAACCACGCAACGATGACATCTGACGGAAACCTTTGTTTCAATACTCTTTCATGTTTCTTTGGGTCATGTTGGGTCAAGGATGACATCTGCATCATCTGAAGTTAGACAGCTTGCACAACATGATCTCCCATGTGTCCCCTCTGGGAGTTGAACCCCTCAAGGGGTCTGTTAGCTGGAAAGAGCTGGAAACAGCTAGCGCGCTCATATTCAGGGGTCGATTCAACTCACACTGAATTGTATAATTGTATGTGTGTGTGTGCAGATAACCACCCGGTGGAGAAAGTATTGCAAAAGGAACCTGTAAACAATGGGATGTCCAACCTCGTCTCTCTATGACATGTAAACACGCGTAAATTACTGATCTACTACTTACTATAATGAGATGACCAACCTGAAACAAAACAAACAATCAAGTGTCTCTATGTGAACTTACATCTGCGATTTCTTTGTCACAAGCAAACATTTGCTCCATGGTCAGATCCAATCTGGTTCACCTGTTCATGCCATGAACAGTCCCAGCACATCCGTCACCAGATCTGGATTGATTGTGCTCTGAGCCATACACCAACAAATTCCTGAGCTTCAGGAACCTCGTAGGGGAAGCTCAAAGGACCCAAGCAGTTGACACTCCGGCGCCAGTTGACACTCTGAAACCTCCTCGTGTGAACATCTTTCTGTTCACCAACAATCTCCCATATAGGTGACCGTCAAGTTTCGCTTCCCCTTGGCGAACACAATCTTCGAGGACGCCACATCTGTCTGGAAGCGCATGCGGACGCACATCCTGCGGATCGTCGCATCGATTTCTCGGCAACCATCCGTCATCCATCTCCACAAAGACCTGATCTTTTGAATCTTCGCCACCAGAAACTTTGAGGAAGTGCCCATCAGCCTTGGAGCTGATGCACGGCCCACCTCTTTGGCCTCGCGCCCAGAGGCCCGACTTTGCCCAGCGAAGCCCAGCAGCTCTGCCACAGCTGATCCAACACGCCACAGCTGCCGGGCGAGGGTCCAATCCAGCCGCTGTAGAGGACTGAAGGAACTCCGGCTCTACAGCTTCGCGCGTTCGGCGCGAAGCAGATCAAGCGAAGCAAGCCTCCGCCCTGAAACCCACAACTGGTTCGCGTTCGCTTCGGCGCAATCTGTAAAGCGAAGCCCCAAAAACACTTAACACGTCAAGTCGCTGCTGAAGAAACAGTTTTTGTTCATTTTTGTTCCATCGTGCTGCCCCCTAAACCTCGGGAGCATTTGCACAAGCCAAACTTCTTCAATCTGTCACTAACAAGTGAAGCCAGTAGCGGGGACACTACATGCGGGCGGGGACCAGTCCATCTAGGGCTTCCTTCTGAGGTGAGCTTTCGCTGCAGCTCCACGCATGCTGACTTGGTGAATTTCCAGCGTTGCATTTGTTGGTGCGACACGGACATGCAAAGACTCAGCTGATTTCATCGTTATCGGAATCGCTCCCTGAGCTTCTGATGTCAGTTTCCAGGGAATCTTGCCCACTTTCGACCAATTTTCCTCAACCCCCGGACCCTTCAGGCCTATCTCGGCATCTGCCACCCTATTTGGGGGGTCTACCAGTGGCACCTCCCTGGCCCTGTGTCTCGGTGTCTCTGGGATCTCGAACGCGTATAACCGGTGCACCGTGGCGTCCGCATCATCCAGCGGGATCTGCATCTCCTGTATGGCCGGGCCGGGCTGAGCTGCTTCGACAGCATTGATGATAGCTCCGGTTGGCTTGTTCGGCAAGGACCACACTGTCTCATTGTTGCCACTGTGGCTCCATAGATTCTTGAAAGATCCGTCGTGATCCGTCTCCCAATTCCACTGGTGGAGCAGGAAAACAACTTGCAACGCCTCCAATTCTCCACATGTCCGACCTTCCTATCTTGGAACATCTAAGGAATTGGCATCCTCCCAATTAAGTTGCCCAACACCTCGCGCACGGAGCGAGACTTAAAAGCGGTAGCTTCAAACCGCCTGAAGCAAAGTCAAAAAGGTCTTTAAGGCAGGTTGAAACCTCCAATCAAGTATAGTCATACGGATGTCATTCGATGTCATACATGCCAGGTAAAAGTTTATATAGGTCTACACACATCATATCTTCTAACCACACAACACATCCACCAAGCGCTCGTTGTCTGCTGGGAACGTCCCGTTCTCACCTGTAGCCACTTGCTCACGGTGCTCTTCCCCATGCCGATGCTGCCGGTCAGGCCTCAGGCGACATGGAGAGCCCCAGACCGAAGCGCAGAAGATCCACGAGGCGGGTTTGGGGGGAAGCGGCGGCATCAAGAATTCGGGGTCGTTCAGTGGTATGTTTTTTGGGGGGACATCGAAAAGCAAGAACATGCACCATGCACATCGTTTTGGGAGACATGTGACATGTGGTTTTGATGTTTTGGTATGTTTTGGGTGTGTTTTTGGTCACCTGAGAAGACATGGGAGACATTTAAGTGTTTTTCCATGTTCCAACTCTTTCAGCCAATCCTTGCAACGGTGAACCCAAAACGCGCTCAGCCGCAAGCTGGCCGGCCATTCATTCCCCGTGCAACTCCAAGGGTCGGGTGCGCTGTGGAAGGCGGTGCTGGACGGAATCCGATTCGGATCCAAAAGCAACACATACCCTCGGGCTCCAAGTACCTTCTGAGAAGGTGTTTGGGTTGGGTTTGGAGGGTCCAAACACCTTCTGAGGAGGTACTTGGAGCCCTAGGGATGTGGAATAAACATGGATATGATCACATCAAGGAGCAACATGAGTTGGCCGTGGTTTGAAATCGTGGTTTTCGTTGTGAGTGGATGGTTTTTCCATCCACAGATTCGGAACCATGTTCGAGTCCACACTGCCAGGAGAAGAACCATGAAAAGGCACCACGGCCGGTCCCCAGCGACCGGTCGCGGTCCCAAGCGGACCCTCCGACGGACTTCTTGGGCATCGGCCTACGACTAAGGTATCTCCCAAGGACCTGGAGATGAAGCAGGGGAGCTGAGCGAAAACCAAAGAATTCGTGCTAAACAAAAGGCCAAAGATTTGGGTGTGTGCATTAAAAAAAAGGAGTAGAGAGACCTCCCAGTTCGACCCCCTGGAAGAAGGGAATGCACTTAATATAGCCTCATTGGTTGGGGGTCTCCCATCGTTGGAATACTGTGTCTTGTTAAAAACAATGCACAGATTTGGTGCCTCATCGCCACGGATTGGTCATTTCTACTTGGAACGTGCAGTTTGGCCAACTTGGATCAGTCTAGCGCCATAATATTGCCTGAGAGGGGAGATATGTTTAGTAACATGTTTTTCAGGGGGTGGGTTTTTTCAACCACCTTCCACATCCTTCGAGCTGCTGGCGCCGAAGACGACCGACCGCCCGCGCTCTTACCGAACGGACCGTCCCGGCGCCCCCGCCTCCGACGTCGTGCCTCGGCGAAGGCGATGGTTGGGAATGGTGGGTACCCAAAACGGTGCGCGCACCGCTGTGCCTCTGTGTAAACCTGTTTTGTGGTTGTGTGATCTGAATGTCAACTGTGATGATGACGATGATGATGACGATAGTGACACGAATGATGTTGATGATGATAATGATACATGAGCAAAAACAAATGATCCGGAATGTGCTGTCAATGATTATTAGTGTTGGTGATGATCGTAAAGATGACAGCTCGACAGTTGAATGGTGGCCGTTCTCAAAGGAGAAACCTTAGCAGGTGCTTTCAGAAAACATCATCCGAACTATGCCACAAACACCAAAACAAACTGCAAACGCAAAAACAGAAGCACCAAACCACAAGCATCAAAGCCAAAAAAACAATCACAAACACCAAAGCACAAACACCAAACCACAAAAACTAAACAGCAAACCACAAACACCAAACACCACACCACAAACACCAAGCCACAAACACCACACCACAAGCACCAAACCACAAACACCAAGCCCCA